GTAAGTATGTGTGTGTGATGTGAGTGTGTGTGTCTGTCAGTAAGTGTGTGTGTGTAAGTGTATGTGCCTTTGAATAAGTGTGTCTGTCATTTAGTGTGTGTGGGGGGGTATTAACGAGTGTCTGTCACGTAAATGGTTGTCTGTCAATGAATGTGTGTGTCTGCCTGTCATGGAGTGTGTCTGTCAGGGTGTGTGTGTGTTATTTAGAGTGAGTGCCAGTGTGTCTGTCATCAGGGCCAGCCTTTGGGGTGTGCAAGCAGTGCGGCCACGCATTGTGCCATGACAACAGAGGCAACCAGCAGCCAACACATTTTTCAAGTTGAGGACACCAGCATATTCAATTTAAACGATTCCCTGGTGGTCCACTTGTGCGCACCAGTAGTAGGTGCAGTCAGATCATATCCTCTCCCTCATGGTTCTGGCACTCAGTTAGTGAGTCAGAGCACAGGCTCAGAGATTCTCAGCCTGCGCTCTGACAACATTGAAAGTCAGAGCCGCGAAGGAGTGGTTATGGCAAAGAGCTACTGATTAGCATAACCTCAATATCCGTTACAAAACCAGGAAAAGGTGGGCATGGATGGTGAGCTGATGCAATGGGCCACCTGACTGGATTTGCCCCCCAGGCCTAAGGCTGCCAGCCCTCCCCTGATACACGTGTGTGTGTGTGTGTGTCTGTGTGTGTGTGTATATATATATATATATATCCAGCGGACTCCCCTATCCAGTAAACAGCAACTTCAATGTTGACAGATTTTTTTTAAAACACCTAATCTAGGCAAAAATAATGGGGGGTTTAGTTACAGTATATGATCATACATTGCATAAGCCTGCCACAACGTCAATGTACCCAATCTTTTGTGTGTGTGTGTGTGTGTGTGTATATATTTATATTGAAAACAGATGCACTCTTCTGTCTTTTTGAAAATACTAACAGTCTTTAATCCATAGAAGGTTTACAGGTTGCTTGATCAACATTTCGACCTATTCGGGTCTTCCTCAAGATCAACATGTAAACTTATTCGCGTTAAAAAGCAGAAACTGGAAAAGGTGAATAATGATTATAAGTACCATCAGGTATATAGATGGTTGGGAGGTTGACAAGACAGCTACAGGTTTAATATAAGATCTAGAACCAAAATACGGAAACCCTCTTTACAAACAATTGATGCCAGCTCTGGCAACTCAACTTTGGATCCTGATACAAGGGGTGACAAGCCCAATCTGGAGCCAATTTTTTAGAAGGTGGTACACAACAAAGAGAACCACCAGATGCGCCCCGTATCAACACCAGAGGCGCAAAAAGAACCGCCCAATATGACGAGGACAGAACAACTGGAAAAAATACAAATCCTACTGGAAGACCTCCCAGAATGCGGAAATGACATCCGTATTTAATCTATCAGATAAGACTTTGAACGCTGACCATTACTCCTTAATTAACAAAGGATTATCATTTGTCCCAGTCTCCAGACCAAACCCCTTCCAAATGGAAATTTAATTATACCAGACCCAGTGTACATTTTATAGCAATGAAATTAGGAAAGATAACACAGTGGAACCACTCCATCCGTTTTTTTAAGAACATCCAATCCTTCTATTAAAACCTTCCAATACGTACATCCAATCCTTCTATTAAAACCTTCATCCAGACAGTAAAAGCAGACACAGAACAAATGTTTAAGAACCCTTCAAAATACCATCAAAACCTCACAGAAGGAGTAAAAATGGCCTTAAAAGATCTGAGTGAAGATCCTATTATTGTGATTCACCCTGCTGACAAGGGTGGAGCAACAGTTATACAATCTTACCATAATTACCGCAAAGAGATAATACGATAGTGCCACATACACTAAACTCACGTATGACCCTGTAATTAAGTTCCAGACAAGGATCAAGAATCATATAGAATTGGGAATCCGCATTGAATATATGGACGAAAAAACAGCACAATTTCTTTACGTTGAAAATCCGAAACACCCAGTGTTATATACACTACCTAAAATCCATAAGGATTCCACAACACCTCCGGGCAGGTTGCTTAAGTCAGACAAAGAAGGTCTACTGGAACCTATTACGAAATACATTGATTACTATATCAAAAAAAGTGTAATGGCATTACCCACATGCTTGCGAGATACTCAGAATTTCATCCACAAAATTAATCAAACACCTGACATTGAGGAAACATGTCTGTTAGTTACAATGGACGTCCAGAGCCTGTACACAGTCATACCTCACAATGACGGTGTCCTGGCTCTGAGAGATGTTTTAAGTTCATCCACACTTTATTCGGGATCACCCATAGAGTTCCTAATGGAATTTCTATATATCGCCTTATCTTGCAATTATTTCAAATTTGAAAACAATTTTTTCCTACAATTATCTGGGACAGCTATGGGTGCAGCAAAGGCACCATCTTATGCCAATGCTTTTATGTTTGTTTTTGAAAATACACAGATTTTACAAAAGTATGGAAAATGGATCAAACACTATCACCGGTTTGTGGATGACATCTTCCTGGTTTGGATGGGTAATATGGAAGAATTGGATTCAATGATACAGGAGATCAAGCAAGCTCCCAAACCAGTGAATTTAAGTATGACTTGTGACATACAATCTATAGAATTTCTGGATGTGACTATTTTCAAGCAACAGGGCAAGCTAGAATTTACCTTATATCGAAAAGAGACAGAACGTAACACTTTAAGTTTCCATCCTAGAAACTTTAAAGCTTCCCTACCCATACCTCAATTTTTGAGGGTATACAGATATAACAGCACTAAAGAAAAATGTGAAACACAACTTCAGGAAATGTGGAATAGATTTAAGGTCAGGGGATATCCTTTTCATACTCTTGAAAAACGAGCTAAAGAAATCTGGGAATCTGAAAAGAAGAACAGGATAACTAAAACAACATTGACATCCAGTATATTCCTACCCTTAACTTTCCACACGGGTACTTCAAAAGTTAGAGAATCTATCAACAAACACTGGGATATGTTACAAACTGATAAACAACTACCTAAGTCATTTCAGAATCGACCTATGTTGAGCTATAAGAGCAACAGAAACCTTAAAGACATTCTTACAAGAAATGATCCCAGACATTGCTATCAAGGAGCCACTAAAATTGTCAAAAAAGGGTGTTTTAAATGCAGTGGATGTTTTACCTGTAGCCACATGGTCAGTGGAGCTACTTTCGTCCATCCTTATAATGGCCAAAGAATTAATAGTTCTCATTACATCACTTGTACCACTGACCATGTGATTTATTTAATCACGTGCCCATGCGGCCTATCCTATGTGGGTAAGACTGATCTCACCCTTAGGGACCGGATACGGGAGCATCGATCTACCATCACGACTGCATTCCATGACAACTACAGCGACAAACCAGTGGCGAAACATTTTCTCACTCTTGGACATAGATTACCAACTTTACGTTTCACAGCAATCGACCATATCCCTCCTTTACCTAGAGGTGGAGACAGATCCAGAATGCTGCTACAAGGAGAGGCACGCTGGATCCATTGACTTGACACCGTGACCCCAAGAGGACTTAATGAAAACATTGTTTACTCAGTTTTTCTTTAATTTGCTATTGCAAATAAGGTTGTAATATATACCTTTAAGTTCTATATTTTTCTAATCTTTGGAGCTATGGAGGTATCGCATTTCCAGGATTTAGATCTTTGAATGTTCTACTTCTTTATGTGTCTAACATTCACATCTATCTCGATTTGTTTTATTTATTTATTATTTACTTTATATTTTTATTTATACTTTATCTTTCTGTTTTTATATTTTTTGAAATTCCTGGATACTATGTCTTATTGATTTTCAATCTTAACCTGAGAGACAACTTTATATCTCTTTTTGACATTGGACACTGTTATTGTTATGTCCAACATCATATCCTTGGATGTGGGATAGGATGATGGGGACTAAGTAGCTAAACTTCTTCCTTGTGCTAATATAATGGTGGAGCTATATATATATATATATATATTGATATAAAAAAAGTTCTTACAAATTTGATAAAACCTAGATTGTCTCACATAATGTAAAATAATTATGCTCCTAGTTTTTTAGTTAATGATATCCAAATATCAATACCTTTAAGCTTCTTTGCTTATTGGAGAGTCATTTTGTGTTATATTTAATATTTATATAATATGACTCCTTAATCTGCTCCTTCCTTTACTTTTAAGTTTTTGAATAAATAGTAGTAGACAGTTTATGTAAAATATAATATACAACATACATACCTTAGTTTATGTCCATGGCAGGCATTTATGTTTTAATTTTGTGTTATCTATGTATATGTCTACACAAATCTGCTTCACTTTGGCTGTTAGATATTTCGGTGCACGTTTGTTTATTCACGTATGAAACTTTTTTCATTTCACAATATTTTTGTATATATATTATTCACTGACACATGTACTCAGTGATTCCGTGTAGATTTTGTACGCTGTTTTCACATATACAATTCAACAAATAGTCACATATGCTTCACAATCCACGTAATATACGGACCGGTATGAGACCAATTTTATAATATTTCCATTGGTTTCCTAGCAACCCCGTTCACTTGAATCACATTCTCACGTAATTTTGCACGTCACGTAACTTCCGGTTTTCACTTCCGGGTTCGGATTGAAGGGATGAGGGAGTTAATCACAACTGGTGATTACACTCTATCTTTTTCTATATATATTCTGATTTTATGTTTACATGTTGATCCTGAGGAAGACCCAAACGGGTCAAAACGTTGATCAAGCAACCTGTAAACCTTCTATGGATTAAAGACTGTTAGTATTTTCAAAAAGACAGAAGAGTGCATCTTTTTTTCAATATAATTATTTATTAGCGTGGGATTGCACTAGGGCACTACTATTAATTATATTAGTAAGGGTGAGTGCCATTATTTGTGATTAGTGATGTCCCGAACGGTTCGCTGCGGACGGCGAACATATGACACTGTACCTCACAGTCAGCAGACACATTCCAGCCAATCAGCAGCAGACCCTCCCTCCCAGACCCTCCCACCTCCTGGACAGCTCACTAAGAATGCAGCTTCAAAATGTATGCTGTCCAGGAGGTGGGAGGGTCTGGGAGGGAGGGTCTGCTGCTGATTGGCTGGAATGTGTCTGCTGACTGTGAGGTACAGGGTCATATGTTCGCCATCCGCGGTGAACCGTTCGGGACATCACTATTTGTGATATAAATATACACACACACATACACACACAGGTGATACTCAAAAAATTAGAATATCGTGCAAAAGTTCATTTATTTCAGTAATGCAACGTAAAAGGGGAAACTAATATATGAGATAGACGCATTACATGCAAAGCAAAATAATTCAAGCCGTGATTTGTCATAAGTGCGATGATTATGTCTTGCAGCACATGAAAATCCCAAATCCACAATCTCAGTACATTAGAATATTACATGCAATCAATAAAACAAGGAGTGTACATAGAACGTACCTCTCAAAAGTATAAGCATGCATATGGACTCAGTACTTGGTTTGGGCCCCTTTTGCAGCAATTACTGCCTCAATGCGGCATGGCATGGAAGCTATCAGCCTGTGGCACTGCTGAGGTGTTATGGAAGACCAGGATGCTTCAATACGGTCTTCAGCTCTTCTGCATTATTCGGTCTCATGTCTCTCATCTTTCTCCTGACAATGCCCCATAAATTCTCTATGGGGTTCAGGTCAGGCGAGTTTGCTGGCCAATCAAGCACAGTAATCCCATGGTCATAGAACCAGGCTTTGGTGCTTTTGGCAGTGTGGGCAGGTTCCAAGTCCTGCTGGAAAATGAAGTCAGCATCACCATAAAGTTAATCTGTGGAAGGAAGCATGAAGTGCTCCAAAATCTCCTGGTAGACGGCTGCGTTGACCCTGGACTTAAAGAAGCACAGTGGACCAACACCAGCAGATGACATGGCTCCCCAAATCAACACAGACTGTAGAAACTTCACACTGGACTTCAAGCATCTTGCAGTGTGTGCCTCTCCATTCTTCCTCCAGACTCTGGGTCCTTGGTTTCCAAATGAGATGCAAAAGAAAAGAGGACTTTGGACTACTGAGCAACAGACCAGGTCTGTTTTTCTTTAGCTCAGGTAAGACGCTTCTGACGTTGTTTGTTGTTCAGGAGCGGCTTGACAAGAGGAATATGACATCTGAAGCCCATGTCCAGGATCCGTCTGTGTGTGGTGGCTCTTGATGCACTGACTCCAGCCTCAGTCCACTCCTTGTGAAAGTCCCCAACACTTTTGAATGGCCTTTTCCTGACAATTCTCTCCAGGCTGCGGTCATCCCTGCTGCTTGTAAACCTTTTTCTTCCACACTTGTCCCTTCCACATAACTTTCTATTAATGTGCTTTGATACAGCACTTTGGGAACATCCAACTTCCTTCGCAATTACCTTTTGAGGCTTTCCCTCCTTATGGAGGGTGTCAATGGTGGTTTTCTGCACAACTGTCAGGTCAGCAGTCTTCCCCATGATTGTGATTCCTACTGAACCAGACTGAGAGACCATTTAAAGGCTCAAAAACCCTTTGCAGGTGTTGTGGCTTAGCTGATTAGAGTGGGACACTGTGAGCCTAGAATATTGCACCTTTTTACAATATTCTAATTTACTGAGATTGTGGATTTGGAGTTTTCATGAGCTGTAAGCCATAATCATCGCACTTATGACAAATCACGGCTTGAACTATCTTGCTTTGCATGTAATGCGTCTATCTCATATATTAATTTCCCCTTTTACGTTGCATTACTGAAATAAATGAACTTTTGCACGATATTCTAATTTTTCGAGTATCACCTATATGGATAAGCTGAGCATGTGGGCGGGCCTGTAGTTGTGTGAGGGGTTATTTCTGGCCTATAAATACATCGGCTGCCAATTCCTCTGGGCTGAGTCTGTCTGGTTCAGTACAGAACCATTTACTTCCGGTTCAAAGGCCATCGACACAAACTGTCTAAACTTCTGGTCTTGGCCTAGTGTGACCCATGCAAGTATTTATTTTACCTCACTCAAGTAAACAGCCACCTCCCTAAAAGCTCATGAGGCACCGCCGTGTCTGGCCCATGCGCAGCTTCTTTAACTGTGTGGTTGTTGTTTTTTTAACCCCTTAGTTACCAGACCGCTTTTCAATTTTCTTACTGCTTAGGACCAGGGCTCTTTTTACATTTCTGCGGTGTTTGTGTTTATCTGTAATTTTCCACTTACTTACAAAAACACTATAAAACTAGTACATTAGGGGTACAGTTATACTAAGGAGACTTCACTGAACACAAATGAGTGTTTCAAAACAGTAAAACACATTACAACAATGATATTGTGTCCCAAAAGATGGTTGGTGTACAATGTTGGGACGCTTGGTTTAGGTAGCGCTACCCACTAGAGAGATTGAGGTTTTTCTTATACAGAATAGAACTTTGAGTAATTTTGTTTGTATAGAGAACTTAATTCTTTCACTGCAATTTAGAATATTCCTTACTTGCTGCAGCATAGCTCTTAGGTTAGTGATAAGGAAGACCCCTCAGAATCACATGTTGGAACAAGAAGAAACTAAAGATGCATTAAACAGAAATTAAAGGAATGTTTGGATAAGTTTGGGCATGCTATTGACAAGAGGAAGTAAAAACAGGACCGTCAAACTGTTTACATCTGAGATTACATACTTCATGCTATCGGGAAGTACAGACAAATTGCTAAATCAATTTTTTTTTTTTTTTTTATGTTTTATGTTTCGTGGAGAAACATATTTTAGCTATGGCTTACTAGATTTAAAGAAAAGTTAATATATTTTATATGATTTTGGAAGTTGTGGGAAATCAGCACAAAATCTTTTCCATAGAAACAAAAATATTTGTCCATAATGTAGCCATGTGCACATGATTTACTTATAAAATTATTTTTTTCTGAATGGGTGGCAAATGTGTGTGTGTATATAAATATATATATGTCAGCGTAGTGTCCAGAGCATGGAGGCGCTACCAAGAGACAGGCCAGTACATCAGGATACGTGGAGAAGCCTGTAGGAGGACAACAACCCAACAGCAGGACTGCTACCTCCGCCTTTGTGCAAGGAGGAACAGGAGGAGCACTGCCAGAGCCCTGCAAAATGACCTCCAGGAGGCCACAAATGTGCCTGTGTCTGCTCAAACGGTCAGAAACAGACTCCATGAGGGTGGTATGAGGGCCTGACGTCCACAGGTAGGGGTTGTACTTACAGCCCAACACCACGCAGGACGTTTGGCATTTGCCAGAGTACACCAAGATTGGCAAATTCGCCACTGGCGCCCTGTGCTCTTCACAGATGAAAGCCGGTTCACACTGAGCACATGTGACAGACGTGACAGAGTCTGGAGATGCCGTGGAGAACGTTCTGCTGTCTGCAACATCCTCCAGCATGACCAGTTTGGCAGTGGGTCAGTAATGGTGTGTGGTGGCATTTCTTTGGGGGGCCACACAGCCCTCCATGTGCTCGCCAGAGGTAGCCTTACTGCCATTAGGTACCGAGATGAGATCCTCAGACCCCTTGTGAGACCATATGCTGGTGCGGTTGGCCCTGGGTTCCTCCTAATGCAAGACAATGCTAGACCTCATGTGGCTGGAGTGTGTCAGCAGTTCCTGCAAGACGAAGGAATTGATGCTATGGACTGGCCCGCCCATTCCCCAGACCTGAATCCAATTGAGCACATCTGGGACATCATGTCTCGCTCCATCCACCAACGTCATGTTGCACCACAGACTGTCCAGGAGTTGGCAGATGCTTTAGTCCAGGTCTGGGAGGAGATCCCTCAGGAGACCATCCGCCACCTCATCAGGAGCATGCACAGGCGTTGTAGGGAGGTCATACAGGCACGTGGAGGCCACACACACACTACTGAGCCTCATTTTGACTTGTTTTAAGGACATTACATCAAAGTTGGATCAGCCTGTAGTGTGTTTTTCCACTTTAATTTTGAGTGTGACTCCAAATCCAGACCTCCGTGGGTTGAAAAATTTGATTTCCATTTTTTAATTTTTGTGTGATTTTGTTCTCAGCACATTCAACTATGTAAAGAACAAAGTATTTCAGAAGAATATTTAATTCATTCAGATCTAGGATGTGTTATTTTTGTGTTCCCTTTATTTTTTTGAGCTGTGTATATTCTCACCCAAACCCAGTTCCAGATGAGCTAAATGGGGGGACCAACATGAAAGTTTTATGCATACCATTCACACAGCATTCTCTTACATACATCTCTGAATTCTTTCCCAAATATAATTTGTGGAGGAAAGTCCAGTATGCATTAATGAACAGAGCATTATGGGAAGGTAAAGGGTCTGATCACCTGGAAGTAGAGCAGAGGTAAGTGTGCTTTATGCATTCCTCTGCTACAAACCTTTCCATTTACAGATTTTTTTTGTTTCAGCTAATGACCGCAGTTTTCCTCACTCTAAGTAAAGATTATTAAAATATTGAAATGGCTGATTTTAAACAGAAATGCCAGAAACCCCAAAAAGGTACAACAAAGATTGTTTAAATGTCCTTCTGTCATTTGTCATTTCTGTTTCTTTGACATTGTGATACAGTGTAAAAATACAATATCCTTTTTTCTCAGTCAGTGCTATTCTATGGATGGCTCTGGGCAGACTAAGTACTATGTTCATCTACTGTTGTACAGTTATCTTTTTAAATATCATACATATGTTTCTACATACAACCAGGGCTGTGGAGTCGGTACACAAAACCTTACCACCCGACACCTCAATATATGGTAACATAGACTCCAACTCCTTATGGTATATATAATTATATTATAATTACTGTATTGCAGTTTACAGTACATGCCGTGGAATAACTGAAGCATAAAATAATCACCCAAAAACTACTCTTACTCCACAGCGCTGCATGCAATGAACATTGGGCAGTTTTGCCTTGTGTCCACATTTTATTTAATATCAGTGGATTTACAATATCCATCTATACACAACCATCTAATTATTCATTAGCCTCATCTCCCTTGCATATTTTTATTTTTGTATTTTTTAAAATTCTTTATTTTTTCATTCGATACGGACAGCAAGTACAGCTCATAGTTTCGGGCTTGCGCAGAAGCCAGCATTTGAATCAATACTTATTAGCAAAGA